AACGAGTTCCATTCCCAAGGTCTGTCCTTAAGTCGAATTTGTATGTAAGCCAGAACAGTACATTGTATAATACTGTATAAGTGATTTTGTGTAATGAACTCGAACCATTGTGTATTTAACTCAAGTTTTGCTACAGTAGGCTCCATTCTTAACTATGGGTCATCCTTAAACTGGGCGTTCTTAACCCAGGGACTACCTGTTCTTGTGAAAAGGTCCTGGAAGAGAAAAAGCAAAGAAATGAATGGTTTTATGGCCGGGAAAAGTGTGTAATATTCTCTGATTTTAGCTTGATGACCATTTGGAGAATGAATTGGCCTAATGTCTGAAGAATTAGGGGATATTAACTCTAAGTGGGTGTTATACAATCATATCTGTATATGCTAAGTATGAGATGCAGCTTTGATTTTTCATCGCAAGAGAAAGACACTTTGCGTGTGATGAGAGGCATTGCTTTACTACATATGTCATACATTCACTGCCAGATTTTGGGTCATCCTTTATAACTTGGGTGGTGCTTAGAAAGAGAACATCATCTTCTACATGATACATACATACAGTATAAGGAATGTTTGCATTACATTTATTTAACAGATAGCTTGCTATCCTGTATGTGTCATCTGGAGGTATCTGCTTACATGTTCTTCCCACTTTCTATTTCTGGCATATTTCAAGTCTGGATTGTGTCAGCATCCCCACTGCCCATCAAGCTTCACGGACGGGTGTCAAACGTTAGTCCATTTGCGCCCACTCATGGGCAGCAGTGTCTCTCTTTTCCTCAGTCGAATGCCAGAGGAGAACTTGTGGTATGGAAAAGGGATGCTGAACTTACAAAGATGCACATTCCCTTATGGCATCATAGAAAATAAATCATGATTAAATATTGAGCTATATATAAAGCTCAGCACAATAAACTATAATGCTAATGGCAGTTAAAGAACTGGGCATAGCTTTGTGCCCTGCACACCATCCAGTGCAGTGCTGGAAACGCTTAGTTGCCCTGCTCAAGCATTTTTATTCTGCATTGATTGCTATTCGATGATGTAGAGTTCGGAGCATGCTCATAGAGGATCACTCTTTCAGTGGTTATTACTTAAGAGCTATGCTCCCCGCTACAAAACATTACAGTGTGGCTCCTTTGGCTTAGGGTTTCTGCCATCATTACAAACTTCTGAGAGATTCATCCATTTTCTGTCCTTCCTCTCAATCTCAGCATTCTGGGACCGCTGAGTAATAAAAAGCATGGGACTTCATCCACACACACACGCGTGCACACACACACACACACACACACACATTCCTAGAGCTATTTTTGTAAATTGTGCTCTTTCCATAACGGCATTTATCTCTCTCTGTCTTGCACAAATAAGTCAGCTGTAACTACATTAATTCAGCACTACCAATATGGGCAGATACTGCAAAACAACAGTAGGGGTATATAATTGTAACTTTTTCCTCTGTTTTGGGGTGCGGCTAAGTCCACTCGGAGAACAGGATACAGGATTTGTATGGATCATTGATCGTAATAAAGAATGTATTTTATGTATTTATACAGGATTTGATGGGCCTTTAGTCTTATCCATTGGGGCTTTTTTCCCCAGCTTTTATGTTCTAAATTTGTACCTTAATGTAATGTCAGTTTATTCTAAGGTTTGGAGAAAAAAGAAGTTCCTATTTCACACATAATAATACTGGGAAAGTGGTTCCCGTTCAAGAACAGAGAAGCATTGCTCATGCCAATTATCTCAGCAAGCAACTCTACATTTATTCATTTTATGCCTTCACATTAACATCCATACCCGTTTGAAAACTACAGGGAACATTAAAGCATTTTGTTCAAATGTTCATAAGAAAACAAAGAACAATAAATGGTAAAGTGTATGCCTATGCTTAAGTGAAAACTGCTTAGTTTTCACCTTTACTCTGACACGTGGTATTTTTAACAGTCATGGCCTGATTCACCCAAGGCATAAGCACCAAACTTTGAAGATGTCTCCTCATTTTTATTCCTCCACCCACCTCTGCAACCTTGTTCCCTGATTTTAGGAACAGGAATTGCATTAGTCCAACAATTTAAGAATATAAGCCACCAAATGATAAGCTGCTACATCCACAGTACAGTAATGAAGAAAGTTCTATGTTCTTTTAAAATGTGAAAATGTGAACTGGCCTTGTTACTCTCTGAGCTTTAGACAATTAGCGAAAGGCCCCTTGTAAGCTAAAGAGTATTGCATAACATGGGATTCAATCAGTGTCACGTTTGAATGACTTGGTAAGAAAATCTAAAATTTCTCAAACTTAAATGTTTTGTTGGGCCCTTTTGGGATGCTTATGTAAATAGTTGGCTTAGAAAACCCTTCATCCTGAATGAAAACTAACTGCTGCACTTAACCATATTTCTGCCAGAAATGTTTATAATGGTTGAATCTGGCCCAAGAAGAGAATTTAGAAACTAAGACTTTGAGCCAATGGTTCTCACAGTGTAATCTCTATATATTAATCATTCATTTATTTTGCAGCTTTGTTACATCTCTTTCTTAACAGATAAAAATAAAGTACAGGCTTATTTCAATGAATAAATAAATACATGTTTTCTTCCATTTCTTTTTTCTTTCTTTCACTGTATCAATTATTTGTCTGTAAACAGAACATATTTTATTACACATACTATCTTAATGATGCCAAAAATTCTAAATTATAGAAAAGGATTATCCTAAAAGAAACAGTTAAAGCTAAATAAGCATAAGACATAAAGTACTATTTAATGCTGGATTTTCAATAGTTTATCTATCTTATATTAAACAAACATATGTTTCTTAGGAAAATAAAGCAAATGAAACAAGCAGATCTCCAAATAAAATATTACAGACCACATCATAACTATAAGCAGCATACAAATAGTTTCCCTTAATAAATAGCCTTTTATGTAATAATCAGGCTACAAAACTGAATATAAATTGTTTCTCTTACAAAATAGTGCTTAAGTATCAGGGGCTAGAGCCAGGCCTACATCTTGTAGAAATGATCCTTATTCCAAAAGTTATCATTTTAGCAAAACAATCTTTCAGATTAGGCCTTGTATTCATACAAGTATGGCAGCCTTGAACACTCTTTCCTTATCACCTTTGTATATTTTAAGCATCACAGTAGTCCTAACCATGTTTTATAATCAAATTTCTCTCCAATATGGGTCAGAATATCCTCAGGAACTACTTGAGCTTAACTGATCTAGATTACATCTTCTTTCCAATTCTGTGTTGCTCTGATTTATGACTGGAACATGGCAGGAGCAAATGACTCATATTAGTATTCTCTATTTCTGACCTCAGTGCCTTTTTTTCTCTTTTGCCCGTAATTTGTTTAATCTTGCTTTATAGGTTCTGATTGTGTTGTAAACCACACGAGGCACTATTGTTTAGAAGGCGAGACATAAGACACAGAATGTATTGTCAATAAAAGCAAACTTCCCTAAATCAGCAGTGACTAAATTATTTTTATTCCCATAGTGGTGAAAAAGAAGGCAGCCATGGAATAGAAGAGGTTGT